CTTCAAGAAGACTTTTTAAATAGATAGTGCAAAGCCAAAAATGGAATTATCAGTTACCACAAGTTTAAATGTAATATAATCCTAAATACAAAGCCCACTTCATTGGCCTAAATTCCTTCATACTTACATACAAACCTGGTACTTTAACAGGCCTCTACTCCTTTTCTATACATTATCTAAACGGGAAATTGTGTATATAATGTAATTGGTGGTATGGGCCAGGGGTTTGGCTTTATTACCTGTTTTAACTATTCTGCTTGTATTTTTGCATATTAACGCACAGAACATTTGATTAAACGTGATTACATTGCAGCTGGTATAAATACATTAAATCTTTTAGCTATCAGTTAGCAACAAAGTGTCCGTCCTTAGTAGCTTTAGAAAGGCTGTGAGTATAGAATCATGAAGACATAGCCGGGGATGTTATGATTGAAGACACCAGATTTTTTTTCTTTATATAAAAACAAACAATTGTCAATATAGAAACACCATCAGTACCCTGTGAATCATGTGAGCCAATTCTCTGTCATAATCATTTCTTTCTGATTTGTCACATTCTGGGACCAAGTCCTACAAATCTTAATTCAGTCATACCATTTGTTCACGCTTTGCGTTCAAACACCAACTGTTTGTCTATGTTTTATTGCTAAAATTTACTTTTTTTGGCTTCATTTTCATCTGGTGTACAGCATATATTCCTAAATCGATTTCCCTTGTTTTATTTTCATTAAAAGACGCTAGGAAAATTGTGAGTTATTGTAATTAGTTTTTGTTATCACTACATTTTCTAAAAGAGCTACAATGATTCAGGTAAGGCCTGGCTTTAAGCTCCACCATTTTAGATATCCACATATGTTACTCATCGTAAAGGGCCATTTAAGGCACTAAAACAAGTTATTATACTTTTTAGCTATATTATCTAAAAAACTGTAAACTTTATTTGCCAAAAATACCCTTTGTTTGCCTTCTCTGTCATGTTGTAAACTAGTTAGCATTTTCTTTATAGCTAAATCTGCCATTTTGCTCAATTTCTAATATTATTATTTTATCATAATTACAGGATTACACCTGTTGCTGTCAGCAACTAACCTGTTTTTATTTCAATAATTACATTTTATACTTTCAAGTTCTAATACTTATTATTGTCACAATAATTATCATGCTCTAATTTGTCTTCCTCGTACCTCCTAAGTCCTATCCACACTTGTAGCTGATTACTCCTCTTAGCTATACTGCCCTTTTCACTATGGATTCTGTGTCTTCGGGAACTGTGGCTGTTTTTGTCACTCTCTAGTCTTCATGGCCATTACAAAAAATTGGGTAAAACCAATTGAAACTGCGACAAATTTGAATGTAAAATGTTGCAGATGGGTGCAGTGCCGGTAAAATGACTTTTACCGCCCTAGGCATAAAAATAATTTGCAGCCCCTTCCCCCCTCCCCATATTGTGACATCCCAATGTCCAACCTGAGTGCCTGCTTCTACAGCAGTCTGGCCAGTATTAAGGCTGACATAGCAGTTCATTTGCCCAGACTCTAGGAAAGCCGCTACGTGCTACGTATAGGCGTGCGCTGCCCATTTCATTAGGGTGTAATTTGGGAAATTCTTACCCTATGTTATGTAGTGTGAATATTTATTAAAATTTTGAGTGGATGTGTGGTGTCTTGTGTAGGGTTGCTGTAAGTGTAGTAGCTATGTGTGGGGTGTGTGTTGAGGCTTTCTGTATGTGATGTATAAGGCTAACTGTGTATAATGTGTATAAAGCTGTGAGTGGCTGTGTGTGGGTAGCTGTGAGTGGTATGTGTAGCAGTGTGAGTAGCTGTGAGTGATACATTTGGGTCACCGGGAGTGTTGTGTGTGGCAATATGTGAGGTGTGGGAAATATATTTGGGAAGTAGTGGAAGATGGGAGGAGGGACTTTTAGGTGCTGTAGTGAGGGTTTAAAGGCAGCTGACAGGTTAAAGGGTGGTAGTGGTTGCAAGGGGCAGTAATGGATGTTAGGAGCTATAGTGGGGGATAGAGGCTGCAGTGCGTGGATAGGGGCTTTAGTGGAGAGTTAGGTGTTGTTGTGAGGCGTTAGAAGTTGAAGTGGGGTTACAAGATTTAGTGTGGGCATAAGGAGTTGTAATATGGATTATGGGCAGTAGTGGGGAGTTAGAGGCTTAAGTGAGGGGTTACAAGCTGTAGTGCGGTGTTAGAGGCTAAAGTGGGGGGATAGAGGCAGTAGTGGAGGGTTAGGACATGTAGTGGGATTTTACGGGCAGTAGTGGGGGTCAGGACCTGTAGTGGGGGTCAGGACCTAAAGTGGCAGTTGGGTGAAGTAGTGAGTGGTTAGGATTAATAAGGGGTCAGGACTTGTAATGAGTAGTGGGGGGTTAGGACTTATAGTGGGGGAGTTTAAGGGCAGCAGTGGAAGTTTAGGACCTGTAGTGAGGGAATAGAGGCAGTAGCAGGGTGTAAAGGGATATGGGTTGGAGTCTGGGGCAGTAGTGGGAGAGATAGGGAAAGTAGTGTGGGGTTAAAGGACCACTATAGGCACCCAGATCACTTCAGCTCAAACAGGTCCCCCTAGTTTTAACCCTGCAGCTGAAAGCAAACTGCTATATTTACACTGCAGGGTTAATCCAGCCTGTAGTGGCTGTCTTCCTGACAGCCACTAAAGGCCGCTTCCGCGACTTACACTGAGTAAATCACGCTTATTTGACGCTGGACATCCTCACAGAGTCCAGCGTCAAAAAAGATCCCCAGAGAAAAGCATTGAGTGATGCTTTCCTATGGGCGGGTTTGAAGGTACGCGCCTCTGGCCGCGCATGCGCATTCGGCTCCACTCAGTTAGGGGCAGTAGTAGGGGGTTAATGGATATGGTGGGGAATTAGGGGTTGTAGTGGGGAAGTAAGGGGCAGTAGTGGGGGCTAAGGGATATGGTGGTGAGTAAGGGGCAGTAGTGAGCGGTTAAGGGATTTTGTGGGGAGTTACGGGCTGTAGTAGAGACATAGGTGAAGTTAGTGTAGAGTTAAAGGAAAGGTGGAGAGTTAGGGGCAGTAGTGGGGGGGGTTAAGGGATATGGTGGGGAGTTAGGGGCAGTAGTGGGGGGTTAAAAGATAATAAAACTAAGGTTACATCATATATATATATATATATATTTTTTGTAAACTGTTTCTCCCCCCCCCTTTCCTTAGGCTTACCTTGGTCCAGGGAATGGGAGAATCCAGTTCCCTAGTGGTCCAGTGGTAAATGCAGTAGGTCTGCACCCTCAGTGGCTGCAGACAGCTCCTTCCGGCAGGCGCCAGGAAGTATCAGAGCGTTGCCGCAGTAATCCATGGCAACGCTCTAATATAGTAGGAGGAGCGAGAACTTGGCCTAGAAGTATTGACCGAGTTTTCCCTCCACCCTCTTACCTCTAAAATATACTTTTACAGTATTTTACTGATAGTTTCCATTTGTTGAATGGTTTTGATTGAAGTTAAAGTAAAACGTGCTGTGTGAGTCAGATATCATCTTTTTTTCATTTTCATTTTTTCAATGCCAGCTGTCAATATCTATAACTTGCAAAATATATATTTTATCACCTTGTATGAACGATGGCTCGGCTTAAAAATTGTATCATCGGCTTCCTATGTTAACCCATTTAACATAGGAAGTTGTCTTTGCATGGAGTAGACAAACACAATTTTCCCTTCCACTGCAAAAAGATATTTAAGAATTCAGATCAAATTGTGATTATGGGGATGACAATGTTTTTAAGATTTATCAATAACCTGGCAATTTGCACCCAGTGCAGTGACTGACTGGTTTTGTCTCTGGATAATACATCTAAAGCATTTTAGTGTTTTATCATTAAATAGGGGAGGGACAAACCCTAGGCATGATGCAGTAAGATAGACTCAGTTATTGGCACTATGTGAAATAAAATATGTGCATCTGTTAATCAGTCGCATTAAAGTGTGCCTAAATAACCATCCGTTTTCACCATGTGTTTTTGTAATATCCGATTGATTTAGTTCTACATCCATTGCTTATATTGACGTGTAATTGTAATCAGTAAAATGTGGCTCTTTTATCTTCATCAAAAAGATTATGCATGCAGAAAACCAAACGGATGCGGCAGTTTGTTATTTTTGTGGAAAATTAATGGTACAAAGCCAAGTTATCAGGAAGCTTCAAGTTTTTAATGTAAATGCAGGCAAAGCTAAATTGTACTTGTCCAGTGGGAAAAAAGCATATCCTTAATATATTTATGTACATACAGCATCAAAAATATGCTTTTTTCCAAAAATTCTTCAGCCACAAGGACATTTGTTGATCAAACTAACCCTAGCATCTAATGGCAACTTTGAGCATGGTATAGTTTGCAATAAGCAAAATATATCAAGAGTTCACTTGCATTAACTCCTTAAGGACTGTTATGGATACAAATAACCCCAAATTCTGTTCAGGGGAAACCAAATTGTTAGTTTGAGCGCGCTCGGTGAAGCAAAATAAGACACACACAGCTTTTGCGAATCCAAGGTTACTTCTGCTTTAATTGGGGGAGCTTATATGGAAAAATATAGCTACACAAGTTTCAATGCTTGCGGTTGTAAATGCAGAAGTAAGTCCATACAGGAAGGTAAGGAGGAGGGAGTGGGGGGCCCGCAGCTGTCTTCACACTAAATGAGCTGCAGGACATCACAAGACAAGGTGTACGTGCAAATTAGTAAACAAGGGTAAAGTGTCATCTTATACATACAATGCTGACATGATCAAGTTAGCCAATTTTATGTTCAGACTGGACATCTGGTCGTCTGCAGCTTGTGCCTTGGGTCAAGGTGCTTTCTTTCACATTACCCTCTTTTTTGACCCCAAGGCTCACTCAGGTGTCTGAGGTATGTCCAGGTATGCTAGTCATACCTGTGGGTCTTTTATTATGCATTCACCACGGTTCCCTCAGGCAGGGCAGTCCTTGGAGAAATGTTCCTTCATCAGTTATACGGCACTGTAGGTGTCATAGGTTGGGGAAGCTGGCATGTAAGTTAAGGTACGACCAACATAAAGTTTTGATTTACACAAGGATGATAGAAGACGGGAGAAGAACTTAAATGTCAGAAAATCATCATTATGACAAATGTTGCGATAAATAATAAATACAATATTTTCTTAATGTTTCAGTAACAAATAGTCAATAGCTAGCCTATTTTCAAGAATTGCTTTCTTATGGGTATCTAATGGATAGCCAGGTTACTGTATAATACCCAAGTAATAAATGCCCTAGCCTGTTCCCTCGCTAAAGGTTAACCTGGGTATCCATTAGAAGTTCCTCCAAGGCCTGGGATGTTAAATTTTAACCTTTAGCGAGGGAACAGGCTAGGGCATTAATTACTTGGGTATTATACAGTGCTAAGCCTGGAATTCCTACCATGGAGTACGCAAGGGCAAAGTATTCGTATTTAGATAAGAGAGTGATTTCAGGGTTGCAATCTGAATAAAGGGTGTTTTTGACATCTCTCCTGTCTCTCTGCAGTTTGTGTAACTGGGTGGTTTCCGAGATCAGGTCAGATTAGGAAAACATGGTCATGGTTAGGAGTGAGATAGCACAGGGACCTCCTGTAATGTTACCTGGGACATATGCATAAGTAAAATTTCCACAGGAGAAAGTCCATCCTTTAGTGAAATAGACATGGTGATGGTAACTCATAACTTGATGTGTTTGGTTACAGTTCAAGGTGGTGTTCAGTGATCTACAATTTGTGGTATTTATCCACCATGTCGGGCAAAACAGGGATTTAGTATTCAGTGTCTGTCACATTCATTGTTTTCAGAGCTAAGGGGGGCTTACCTACCAGTGGGTTGAAAGCATAAGAATGTAGTTGTAGCATTTTACGGGCTCTATGGGTATGAATACTACTACTCCAAGAGTGAGATGGAGGTAGGGACAGCTATAAGACAAGATTATATGGCGTTTTCAGAAGATTCACTTTGACTCGGGGCACAGAGAGTCTGCCTTTATCCGTTTTACCTGTTGCCCATATGGAGTTAGGTACTGAGGTCAAGTCAATGATTGCATCCTGAAGTGCGTGCTAGCTCTGTATACTGTACATCACTATGTGTTGTTTGTCTTTTATATTCTAGAACCTAGCTGTATCCCTCTTTTTATCTTTATCCATCTGACACTACAGAGGCTCAAGAGGGAAAAGCCTCTAAGGAAGTTATATACATTTGTACTAAGTTAAGTACATTATATTTATCTATTTATCTGCTATTTTTGGTGAATGCTAGGTTCTGTCACAGGGTTGGACACAGTGATGGTCGCTAGTAAATTGGCAAGGGGTGTCAGGTGATTGTCCTCTAGGGGCAGGGACAGTGATACCTCTCCAGACGGACTAAACTGAATGTTGGCATCAATAGCAGACAAAACATCACTGCCTAGCAAGTTAGCAGGGGCATTAGGGCTGACAAGCAACCTGGTAACAAGAGAAGTAGAGTTATGGAGCTTCAGCTTCATCTGGTGGGTTAAAGGGATTTCTGCAGGGGTCCCATCTACACCCATGCATGATAACACATCATCTGATTTCTAATAGTATATTTCAAAATATATATCTCCTGCACAACAGAACAGACTGTCCCAGTGTCTAGCAAAAAAGGGACTATTCTATCACCTGGTAATGTAACATCACAAGAAGGAGAGGGTCCAGCTACATCAGGAATAGTTAAAGTGTGCAGGGACACTGGGTTGTCAATTTCCTATTGGTGGAAACTGAGTGTCATGAGAGTTGTCAGAATTGTTCTGCTGGTCCCTATTTTTAGGAGGACATTTACAGTTGTGCTTAATATGTCCTTTTCTCCCACAATTCCAACACTCAACTGAAAGGGTTAATGCTGTTCTGGACTCAACTCCCCTCAATTCTCGATCCTCCAGTCACCACATCAATTGACGGGAGTTCTTGTTAGCAAATTAAGAAACAGACACGAAAGAGTGCTTAACAAGTTCTCAATGAGTATATTTTCAGGACTAGCATTTATACACAGTTTGTCACGCAACCAGTGAGATTTATCGTTTCCTTATAGTTAATAGTGCATACTTGTCTGACATTAAAAAGATAAGCATTTGAATAAAGACGGGACAGGAACATCCTGAGGTTAAGCAAGGTTGCACATCCTCTAGAAGGAAGACCTTGGTACAAAATACATCTGCCAAAGTCAGAATAATTATTTCAAACATTATTTTAAAGCATATAAAGCAAAAAGTGTTAACCATTTCATATCCTTACATCAACCTGTGTCCTTTCTGTACTTGATCTGGGGGCAGTCAATGCCATAAGGGATGTTGTTTTCTCCTATTATTTAGGTTGGCTTCTACTACCATAGCCTATTTAACTAAATCACTGTAATTAAGGCTTCTCCATTCTGGTCTAGCATTCTGGAGTCTTGTTCTTATGAAGGCATGGAGACCGTCCATAAAACAATTAATTAACAATCTAGTGGGTGTTACTTTGGTTTCAGTATAGCCCAGTGACTCCCAAGCTGTCTGACAAATAATTTTTCAACAGATTCATCTTTCCCCTGTATAATATCTCCTAGCTTGTCGGCCAGTTCTTCGATTTTTACTTTAGCCCAATCTTTAAGGGCAGTTACATGGGATTTACAGGGGATGCAGGCACTTGAGATCTCATTTTCTCTTTAGGGACCTTTTTATGTATGGTTCCTTCCTTACCCAGGTAAGAGGGTGGATATTCAGGTTCCCTTTTGGGATCCTTTTGGTTGCAGGACCCTAAGGGTCCAAAACATTGGTAATAGGGTATTCCTTTCCTGGTAGTTTCTCTACAACCACATTTAGTTAATTAATCGCTGTATCATGCCATTTCTGAGCGACTTCTACTAAGTCATTATCTTCTAACCATCCTCTATAATTTGCCATAAATTCATTCCATATCTGTGGGTCAAGGGTGACCTCTGAGGGCATGCACGCGTTCTTAAGTACTTTCGTTATTGCCTTAGTAGCTCCTTGTCCTTTATGATGTTTAACTATAGTCAGAGCTGTAAATTCCTCCTGGGTACTTTGTAAGTTAACCATCTCTAACACCTGTAAGGGGTAATTACTTCCTTAACCGATACAAGACTATACAAACAGTGTTTAGACACTTAGGACCACTGCAGTGGAATTTTCACAGTCTTTGTCTTCTTAATTTCAACACAGATCAAATATCTGTCTTTGAGGATTCTGACTCTAACTATAAAACAAATGACAAGATAGACAATGGTGACAAACCCCACAGATATATTTTACTATCTCAAGATTCCAAGATTCCAAGATTCCAAGATTTCTTTCACAAGACATTCTATTTGAACATACTATACCACAGAAAACAAGTTCTTTAGGAGGAAACCTATTTAAATTCTTAACCACCCAGACATAGGACTCAGAGAGCTTAATAGAGAGTGAATCTAGATAGGTAGAAAAGTAAAAAAAATTCTCACCTGCTGCAGCTTTAAGATTCATTGTCTACAACTCCTGGTTTCCCAGTAGTTCGTCCAGATGGAATGGATTGTTTCCTCCTGGGTTTCAGCACCAAAATTGTTAGGCATAAAAATAACCCAAGAATATGTTCACGGGAAACCAAATTGTTAGTTTGAGCGTGCACTGTGAAGCAAAATAAGACACATGTATGGGGGAAAAAAGCTACACAAGTTTCATTGCTTGCGGTTGTAAATGCAGAAATAAGTCCATACAGGTAAGGTAAGGAGGGTGAGGGAGAGGGAAGGGGACCCCCCGCTGTCTTCAGACTATATAAGCTCACAAGACAAGGTGTACGTGCAAATCAGTAAACAAGGGTAAAGTGTCATCTTATACAGTTGCAAGAAAAAGTATGTGAACCCTTTGGAATGATATGGATTTCTGCACAAATTGGTCATAAAATGTGATCTGATCATCATCTAAGTCACAACAATAGAAAATCACAGTCTGCTTAAACTAATAACACACAAAGAATGAAATGTTGCCATGTTTTTATTGAACACACCATGTAAAAATTCACAGTGCAGGTGGAAAAAGTATGTGAACCCCTAGATTAATGACATCTCCAAGAGCTAATTGGAGTGAGATGTCAGCCAACTGGAGTCCAATCAATGCGATGAGATTGGAGGTGTTGGTTACAGCTGCCCTGCCCTATAAAAAACATACACCAGTTCTGGGTTTGCTTTTCACAAGAAGCATTGCCTGATGTGAATGAGGCCTCGCACAAAATAATTCTCAGAAGACCTACGATTAAGAATTGTTGACTTGCATAAAGCTGGAAAGGGTTATTAAAGTATCTCCAAAAGACTTGCTGTTCATCAGTCCATGGTAAGACAAATAGTCTATAAATGGAGAAAGTTCAGCACTGCTGCTACTCTCCCTAGGAGTGGCCGTCCTGTAAAGAGGGCAGACTGCTCAATGAGGTGAAGAAGAATCCTAGAGTGTCAGCTAAAGACTTCCAAAAGTCACTGGCAAATGCTAACATCTCTGTTAGCGAATCTACAATACGTAAAACACTAAACAAGAATGGATTTTATTGGAGGATACCACAGAGGAAGCCACTGCTGTCCAAACAAAACATTGCTGCACGTTTACAGTTTGCACAAGAGCACCTGGATGTTCCACAGCAGTACTGGCAAAATATTCTGTGGACAGATGAAACCAAAGTTGAGTTGTTTGGAAGAAACACACAACACTATGTGTGGCGAAAAAAAGGCACAGCACACCAACATCAAAACCTCATCCCAACTGTGAAGTATGGTGGTGGGTGCATCATGGTTTGGGGCTGCTTTGCTGCGTCAGGGCCTGGACGGATTGCTATCATCGAAGGAAAAATTAATTCCCAAGTTTATCAAGACATTTTGCAAGAGAACTTAAGGCCATCTGTCTACCAGCTGAAGCTCAACAGAAGCTGGGTGTTGCAATAGGACAATGACCCAAAGCATAGAAGTAAATCAACAACAGAATGGCTTAAACAGAAGAAAATACGCCTTCTGAAGTGGCCCAGTCAGAGTCCTGACCTCAACCCGATTGAGATGTTGTGGCATGACCTCAAGAAAGCGATTTACACCAGACATCCCAAGAATATTGCTGAACTGAAACAGTTCTGTAAAGAGGAATAGTCAAGAATTACTCCTGACCGTTGTGCACGTCTGATCTACAACTACAGGAAATTTGGCAACATTTAATTCTTTGTGTGTTATTAGTTTAAGCAGACTGTGATTGTCTATTGTTGTGACTTAGATGATGATCAGATCACATTTTATGACCAATTTGTGCAGAAATCCATATTATTCCAAAGGGTTCACATGCATTTTCTTGCAACTGTACATATAATTCTGACATGATCAAGTTAGCCAATTTTATGTTCAGACTGGATATTTGGTCATCTGT